AACTTAATGAGTTCACATATTTGTATTATAGTTGTATTATAGTTTGTATCGACAACTGATTAAGTGTTCTTGAGTTAATAGTAGATCGATAGGTGTGTATTCGCTCAATTCCCAACGTGAAATCTTACGCATTCAGATCAAATCGTGATTTTTGACAGCTTTCTGGTTCGACGGAGTTGGGGGTATGATTCATGGAGATGACGAACAACACTGGTGTATCGAGTAAGCTCATCAAGTCACGTGATGGCAACTTTACAAAAATACAAATAATATCATGCTTCCCGCAAACACAAGTGACTCATTTACTTTCTCATTATCATGAAGCATTGTGGGCAACTCAGGCACATCGAAAAGACATATCGGAGCTATTTTGGTGGAAGAACTCTAAACTGCGTTAACATATTACATACACCACCCACTTAATAAGATAGTTATTAACTGTCCAACGTACATGTTAGTTGTCTATATATTCACTGACAACTTTCACTGGCAACTTTCACACAGAACATCAATTGGATGGGATACAACCGTGAATGGCTTGAATGTGTTCGGGTACAACCCACCGTAAAACGAATTATTGTAACTTTTAATATACAATGACATTGATTTGATAAGTGCGTTATAATTTAATTTAACTTATAATTTTTTAAGCCGCACCGGAACCTGTTTTAGTTTGATCAATTTAATTTTCTGTAGAATACGGTAGACGGTTAATATCACGAGTAACCATGGCGTTTCATTGCAACACTATACAAACTTCTTGTACATGCTAAAAAGTCGCTGGCGAAGCTATTCTCAAATATAGTTGTTATGCTTTTCAGAATAGGCTTGTGACTTACCTCTACAATGCAAGTCACGCTTTGTTCAATAAAACTATCATGTTTCTCAAGAAAATGAATCTTAGTCAACCTAAATAAAACGGAATACTAATGTTGGTATTGCGGTCAACATACTAGTATGCGTGAAAAAAAGTGTGATGATTATTTATTAATGATGTACTATTATTGGAATCGTATGTGCGTGGGAATTACTGTAGGCGTTCAAGCGTCTTTTCTTGATCTTTTATATCACCAGGGATTATCCACGATCAGGATACATACCCCGGGGAACTTGTGTTTCAGGTCAATATATAATAAAAATATTCTGTGAAACTCAATGGTGATAAGTGTATATTGACATTCAAAAGATTCCAGACATGTATTTTGAGTCTGGTGAATAGTGCTCCAGTCTTCCAGCAACGAAGCGCTTTCTGTCGTACACATCGTTCACATTATTTTGATATGTAGCCGTCCGCTGGCGATTTTTTTTTTTGAGAGACGCAACGAACAGTTGAAATACCTTTGAATCGCAAGCCATTGTCATCCAGTCAGTGGCAAATGCACGATTCTAAAACGGAACCAAGCTAGAAAATTTATTGTAATTCACTGTCGTGCGTTTTGTGGAATATTAATGGTTTAAAGGGCCGTGGTCGTCTCGCCACGCATGCGCAAGTTATGGGTCTGATATGAACAAATTAAAGATGGCGACTTTGACTGTTTTAGTTAGGTAACTAAACCAAGTTTAGTTAGGTTTGACCAAGTTTAGTTAGGTAACTCCTTTGGTTATTGGATGGTATCAAATGGAGTCACCAGTGGTAATTAGTGTATGTCGCGACTAGGTTACAACTTGCACTCGTGATTTATATTAAGAGTACATTGGACTGTAACAGTAGGGAAATCAATGCTTATCAAAACAAATGTCGCACATGCGCGGCGGGGCGATCACCTCTCTTTAAAATCCGGGCAAACAAATGTTTTTAGTTAAAAGATCTCCATTAATGCAGGAGAGTGCAATTTTCAGTTTTTATATCAGTTTTGTTTCTAAAGATATTCAAATTTCCATCACTATTATGTCGTCCACTTTTTTGATTCAAATCCGTCACTTGCCACTTTCCGTCACATAGGTGAAGGCGTTTAGGAACAATTAATTTAATTACTGTGTAGAAGTCATATATATGGCCTAAGCAGATGGACCACAATCATCTACATCTGACAATGATGATGTTGCAAGAG